CTCGTCGATGTCTTCGTGCTTGGCCACGCACTTGGAGCAGGCGCAAGCGCGAAGGCCTCCCCCCTGGCCCCTCCGCAACGCAGGGCACCGGGGGTTCGCGCCCAGAGCTTGCCCGTAGCGGGCTATTTGGGCCGTCGACAGCCCCTCGACCCACTGCATCCCCTTGACTTTCCAGTCGTCGAGGGCCGAGCAGAGACGACACCAGCCCAGCCGTCGCGGTCGTACGCAGTAGGTTCCCATGCTGAACTCCCAGCCCACGGACTCGTAGTCCTCCTGCGCGAGCTCCCCCGCGCTCACGAGGGCGTCGGCGTCCTCCTCCGACTTCGGTTTTTTTGGCTGCACGCCGTTGCGTTGCTTCGGCGGCGGCGCCGTTTGGAAATCCGCCCTATCGCTTCCGCAACGGCCACGCTCGGCGCGTTACTGCACGTCTCGCTGCCGCCCATGGCACTGGCAGCTTCGCCCGGGTCGCCACGGGCTCCCGACGCGGCACCCCTGCCCACCTGCTCCCGCAGATGCACAGCTCGGAGGGCCATTGTCAGCCTGTCCAGTCCGCTCTTCTGGTCCTTGGCGAGGCCCGCGCGCGGCACCGCGCACAACGCGGCCTGGGTGGCTGCCGCAGCGCGTCTCGCGGGCATGGAGGCCCCCGCGAGGCTGGGCGGCGAGGCACTGGGGGCTACCCCCGCACCTCCCCGACCATCGGCAGCGGGCTCCGGCTTGGGCACGGGGGCTGAGCCCACGGGAGCGCGCACGAACTCCCCTTCAGAGATGTCGCTCTCAGGGAGGTCCACCTCCGATGAGGGCGAGGCACACGGGGCCGCCCCGATAGCTCAGCCACCGCCATCGGGCGCCCCCCCTCCAGTGCGACCTCCTCCGCGGCTGGCGGCGCGCCCCTGCTGGACGGGTCAATGCCCACGCTCGCCCCCTCGGTGATCCCATCCATCGCGGCCGTCATCGCATCGGTCTCCGACTGTGGCTCCATCTGCTACCCTGGAACTTCAGATTGAGCTTTAGCCCTGGCCTCCGCTTTAGCCTTGGCCTTGGCGCTGAGAGCCTCGCGCAGCGGCACGGGGTCGTGGCTCGAGAAGGCGGGGCGAGTCGTCGCTGGCCAGGGCATCGCCGCGGGCTTCGAGAGCTTCGGCGTCGGTGCCATGGCGTCGCGAAGCCGCGTGCTCCAAACAGCTGCGGACGAGATGGGGGGGACTAAAAAGGCTATACACCAGGCGGACAGTAGAAGGCCCATCCCCCACGGGAAACACAAAAAGGGGGCAAAACCACAGAACCCACCATTAACGAAATCAACCTTACCAATCCGACAACGTGACCAGGTGGTGACGAGAGCCATGCGACCATGTAATCCCCGACCCTGCTGCTTCTTCTACTAGTCCTGCTACTGATACAACTACTGCTACTGCTACTGCTACTACTACTGACACTACGACTACGACTACTACTACTAATAATAATACGATTACTACTACTACTACTACTACTACTACTACTACTACTACTACTACTACTACTAATACTACTACTACTACTACTACTACTACGACTACGACTACGACTACTACT